CACGTTACCATGATTAAATCCAGTCTCACCAGTTTAACCTGAGTTGCAAGACACGTTAACATGATTTGAATCCAGTCTCACCTGTTTTAACCTGAGTTGCAAGACACGTTACCATGATTTGAATCCAGTCTCACCTGTTTTAACTTGAGTTGTAAGACACGTTACCATGATTTGAATCCAGTCACACCTGTTTTAACCTGAGTTGCAAGACACGTTACCATGATTTGAATCCAGTCTCACCTGTTTTAACCTGAGTTGCAAGACACGTTAACCTGATTTGAATCCAGTCACACCTGTTTTAACCTGAGTTGCAAGACACGTTAATATGATTTGAATCCAGTCTCAACTGTTTTAACCTGAGTTGTGAAACACGTTAACATGATTTGAATCCAGTCTCACCTGTTTTAACTTGAGTTGTAAGACACGTTACCATGATTTGAATCCAGTCACACCTGTTTTAACCTGAGTTGTAAGACACGTTACCATGATTTGAATCCAGTCTCACCTGTTTTAACCTGAGTTGCAAGACACGTTAAAATGATCTGAATCCAGTCACACCTGTTTTAACCTGAGTTGCAAGACACGTTATCATGATTTGAATCCAGTCACACCTGTTTTAACCTGAATTGTAAGACGCGTTATCATGATTTGATTCAATCTCACCTGTTTTAACCTGAATTGTAAGACGCGTTATCATGATTTGATTCCTATCTCACCTGTTTTAACCTGAATTTCAAGACACGTTATCATGATTTGATTCCTATCTCACCTGTACTGTTTCTGCTCGAAAGTCGTGGCTGCTCTCAGTTTGGTGATGAGAACCCACATGATACGAGCCAAGAAAAAGATGTTCACCTGTGTATATAAACATAATCTTAAAATTTATGTAAGTAAACATAAACATAATTTTGACAGGTGATATTAGTTCTCTCACTTTTCACATAAAAAAGAAGAAGAAGAAATATGTGTAATAATAGTAATAAACGAGTGCTTTTTGGGCAATATAGTAAAAAATAAGAGATCTGGGCCAACACAGTAAAACTATAAGGAGTTTGGGGCAATATAGTAAAAATTAATGATCTGATTCAACACAGTAAAACAGTAGAAGATTTGAGGCAATGAAGTACAACAATAAGGGATTTGGGGCAAATACAGTAAAAGAATAAGAGATCTGGGGTAACATAGTCAAACTATAAGAGGTTTGGGGCAATATAGTAAAAAATAAGGGATCTGAGGCAATACGGTAATACAATAGAAGATTTGGGGCAATGCAGTATAATAATAAAGGGATTTGGGGCAATACAGTGGAAGAATAAGAGATGTTGGGTAAGATAGTAAAACATTAAGAAATATATGGCAATATAGTGAAAAATAAGAGATTTTGGGCAATACAGTAAAACAATAAAGGGGTAGTAGAGGTTAAATTCTATTCATATCATTCGTGTTAGTAACATTATTAAATACTTTCATCATAATGACATTTTTTAATCTAACTAACTTACTAGAAGAATTCCAATGACGGGGACAATGAAAACATAATCGTAATTGTCCTTGCTCTGCCAAGGGCACCTGTAAAAAAAATCACACACACAAAAAAAAAACACAACAATTAGATTTCAGACCCAACTAAAGCTCTGAAAAATTATGCTAAAATTCCGTTAGGGAAGATGGTGGAAACATTATGCTAAAATTCCGTTAGGGAAGATGGTGGAAACATTATGCTAAAATTCCGTTAGGAAAGACGGTGGAAACATTATGCTAAAATTCCGTTAGGGAAGATAGTGGAAACATTATGCTAAAATTCCGTTAGGGAAGATGGTGGAAACATTATGCTAAAATTCCGTTAGGGAAGATGGTGAAACATTATGCTAAATTCCGTTAGGAAGACGGTGGAACAATAATGTTTCCACCATCTTCCCTAACGGAATTTTAGCATAAGATTTTTCTTTGTCATCTTGCAGAATGCTGAATAATTGTTTAATGAGGTGTTTGTTCTAGAATTACTTAAATATTTCTACAACATTTTTAGGGATACTAGAATGTAGGAAGATATCTTGTGAGAACTGTTGGTTTATGTATAACATAAAGTAAACTAGAGGGCACTCAGTAGAGGGTATACCCCCGCATCGTTGATCATATATTCGGCTCTCAAAAAATAAGAAAATGCGTCCGTACGTACGTCGTTAAAATCTGACACGAACCATCTTTTGACAGGACAATGAGGAATAATATTCTACATATGTCCACCAAGTGCAATCAAAATCTGATTCTTTTTGACTGAGTTATAGACCAAAAATAGTGTGGAAAGTCGGTCCTCATGGTAACAGATAAAGATGTTTTGGATTTTCGTGACCTTGACCTTTGACCCTCCAAAATCTAATCACTTCTAAGTTGGGTCATATTCCAGATGTATACCAACTTTCGTCCAAATCCATTCAGCCATTTTCGAGAAATCTTGCTGACAAACACATGCACCCATAACCTCCGTCCACCTTCCGTGGCGGAAGTAATGAGGAGTTAATTAGGTACTTTTCAAATTAATGGTAACAGTAACTGCTGGTAGGTTGTGTTTCTGTCCTTTAACCCTAAATTAAGGAATCAGAGCTCAACACAACAAACTTTTGACATAAGAGACACCTGGTGTGTAAACTATCTATCAAGAGGTTTTTATGTATTATATCATTTGAGCTCAGACTCTGGAAAATGTATGGGTGAATATCTATGTAACTACATACGATAAGGAAATATATATTTTCCAATTACAAAATGAACAAATATACATCAGTTTATCGAAAACGTAATAACTTTTTGAAATCCACTGTATTTAACATTCTTTAATAGGAAAGATCAATGGTTTACCCTTGATGTAAAAATAAGTCACTCGTCACGCGCGAGAAGTAGGCTTTCACAGGTGCCCAAATCAAGATTAGAAGTGCAGGTAGGCCTGAAATGATACGTTATGGACAATATATTTACAACATCGTAAAAACACTGCCTAAAATTACAGCAATAATCAGACATTCGTGATACATTCGGTCTCAGTCATTAATTGGATGAAGCATGTTGTTGTCTTAAGTTTCAAACAATGAAAATTCTCGTGTCAGAAACTGGAAATAAATCGCAAAAGAGACTCGAAATTTATGTTTCATCGTTCAGAAAAAACACACACACGCGCAAGAAACAGTCAGAGAAATCTTTTACTTGAGAAAATTTTATTGTCATACAGTATAATAATATTATAATACATTATTATTAAGTACGGTAGTACTTAATAGCAGGGATCGAGAAGAATTCCAAATAATTCACGCGCCGAAAAACCACCCTATTGAATTCTAAAGCGAAAAAAAAACATTCAAAGTATTGGTTACGATATATTATGTACATATATACTAATGATACGTTAAAAATATTTCCGGTATAACAATTCAAAAATTCCTAACACAGCAACTTTTCGTCTATTACCTACCCACCTACCTGATCCCGTCAGTGGGGCTAGCCCCTAGACGGCTCGGACTATCGCTACAAGATTTCTCCGGCTTACTTGACTGGTCTGTGGGTATCCGCTTTTAATATTCCGATAACTATATACAGATTTTTTTTTTATAAATGGTAAACATATCATGCACGTAATTAAATATATTTTCAACCCAATAGATGGCGCTACATATCGATGGATAGACATGCGACAGTATACTTTATACAGGTATAACATAAAACGTAAACAAACAAGAGTATTAACAAATTATGAACTTTAAAATGAAGTAGGGATCTGGCTACAAAAGGTAATGAAACAAGAAGTAAAACCACAATCACAAATTTATAAAATATATTCCATACTTTGTCAGCTTTATACACTTACTTATCTGTAGGCCAAAGTAAGGATTACATTTTATAAATTTGTGATTGTGGTTTTATTTCTTGTAAAAGTTACAGCTATCAAGGATATGGCTATGTTATGTCCATTAGATGGAGATATAAAAACTGAACAAACAAACAAGAAAAATATTAACATTTTAACGGAAAGTAGGGACCGTTGGTTATTCGTAGAATTGCTATAAGAAGTATCCAAAACAAAATAAATGCTGCAATAAAAAGTACACAAACAAGTAAAGTGATACTAGTTGGATAGATTTTAAAACGATTTTCAACCCCTACTTTGGTTGGCATTGTGATGTTATAGCTAAATGAAGCAGTCTAAATGTGCCACCTGATATGATAACAATACAGTACCAATTGACTTACCCCAACCAATTGTAGCATACACGTGAAATTTAATTGATTCAATTGAAAAGGTCTTGACAACCAGGATGTAGAGGTAGAGTCCTTCCACAAACATCCAGAAGAAGTTTGTCCCCATTAGATACGTCAGGAATATTGTTAGAATGCAAGCCGCCTACTCAGACATGGAATGAAAGAATTCAATAAAATTTATAATAACATTATAACATGTATGATAACAGTCTATCACAGATTATAACAATATTACCATACATGACAACAATACATTATTAACTGATTTACCCCAACCAAATTCTAAAGGTAAAGTATATACTTTATGCAGGTATAACATAAAAAGTAAATAAACAAGAGTATTAACAATTATGAATTTTAAAATATTGATAGAATGCAAGCCGCCTACTCAGACGTGGAATGAAAGGATTCAATAAGATTTATAGAAATTATCTAAATTAAATAAATGCACCAATTGGGCAATATAGATTTTAGCTACTTAAATATTAATACGTAACTATCTTTATTTCTTTTTTTTTAGCCCCCCAGTGGCACAGCGGTATGTCTGTGGACTTACAACGCTAGAATCCGGGTTTCGATACCCGTGGTGGGCAGAGCACAAATAGCCCTTGTGTAGCTTTGTGCATAATTAAAAAAAAACGAACAATTTCTTTTTTTTATGTTTTTACATACAGCGATAATTTGGAACTGGAAAAAAAATATTACTTGAGCTTTCGATTAAAAACTTCTCAGAATAGAAAACGAACGATAATGAAGATGCAGATAAATATACTAATAATTGTTTATTTCAGACCTAACGTTTTGCGTGCCAGCCACTTTCAGCTATGAGGTGATATAATCGTGACAGGCAAACCTTTTATTGGACTAAGAGTAGCCGTATAGGTGGTGGCCCAGCTGGTGGTGCTGAGTGGATTTCCACCATATGGTCATTAGTTCTTAAGAATTAAAATCTTCTGCATCTTATCACACATCTTAAAGAACATCACCTTCGTAATCTTACCATATGCCCCCCCCCCAGTGGCATAGCGGTATGTCTGCGGACTTCCAACTCTAGAAACCGGGTTTCGATACCCGTGGTGGGCAGAGCACAGATAGCCCATTGCGTAGCTTCAAACAAACAAGTCTTACCATACATCTCAAAAGTAATATATTTTATCAAACATGTTAAAATGAAACTCCTTCAGAATATTACCGGACACTTTAGAAATAATATATTCTGTATCTGATCACTTATCTTATTGATTGGTGTTTTTAGAAGATTTCCCTCCTTTCATAAACTTTAGAATCTACTAACTTACCTCTAGTTCAAATTTTGCAGACTTTTTTAAACATTGACTGGATCGGTAGGTATAATAAGTAGCAGTGTTAATGTTGGTTAATTTAATATTAAGAATTGGTCAGTGTAGATATTACTAGCATTAATTTCTGTTAGTTTGATATTAATGGAACTAGCCAATATAGCTGTTACTAAAGTTACTGGTTTTTAATTTCAAACTGGAGCAGTTGGTCAGTGGAGTAAGTAATAACATTGCTGACCTTTCATTTCATAATGGGGAAACTGGTCAGTGTAGTAAGTACTTGTAACTTAGTAACAATAAACACAATAGAGCACATACAAACATTACTACGTTTTAATTAGTATTGATGAAGTTTGTGAGTTATAGTAAATAGTGTTTTGTATTTAATAATATTGATAATCAGAATTATAACCAAAGCTACTAACCTCTGTCGCTAGTATCGAGGGAGAATGTCCCATCTGCAGCGAAGCAGTGATGATCCAGGTCAGATAGATCAGGATATAGGTCACTATCAGATGAGTATGGATAGTGTTCCGCAGGCACCTCAGATCTCTGAAGAAACAAGTGTTCAGAGAGCGGGTTAACTACGAGCTGAAAATAAAACTGTCCATACTGTAAAGTAATTTAAATTTAAATTAATTCTTCAGAAATGTCTATTTCCTTCTTTTAGAGCAAAGCTACGCTGAGCTATCTGCTGTGTCCACAGCGGATAATCGAACCCCGGACTTGTAACTTTTTAGACTTACCGCTGTCCCACCGAGGGACTCTTTGGAAAGGAGGTTTAAGTAACAAAATGTTAAGACTAACATTCAGAGTCTCTAATGATCATGAAAAGTAGCTCATTTCTGCGTGATCTATGTATGCAATATTTCACGTGAGGTTTCAACCAATTAATATCGAAGACAAAAATTACACTTTAGTGGTCATACGAATTTTGAGACTTAATTAAGATATTATATGATTAGAAATAGCATTAAATATATGTAATCAGAAATTGACAATGAATATTTCAAACATGGAGCTTTTGTTTTAGTTAATTTCAACTATAGTTAGACTCAGGACTTAATATAGACCGGAAGTGACTGAGTAATTAGCATGGCAGGATGTGGATCTTAAGGTCCAAGGTTCGAGCCCGAGATATGCCGATGAACATGCTCTGCACTTTCAGCCTTTGGCACGTTATAAGTGACATCGAATCCCACTGTCCGGTTAAAAGCAGCCATATAGGCGGTAAGTGCTGCTGACTGGTTGCCCGACCTCTGGTCAACTGTCATTAAGATTGAAAATATTACACACTAAAGCTTAAATTCTAAATACAAAGTAGCTGGGTCGTTATTGGGAGATCATGTTTAATGTTAATTCTAGGCTTCTCGTTCATTTAGTGGACACTAATTCACTAATGGAAGTTTTATGAGCTGCCTTTCACATAAAAGGTCCTGATTTGGTGATCCGGCTGAAATTTAGCTCTGGTCAGACGTAACTGCATTTTTGAAAATAAAATTACGCAGAAACTGTGCTGAATTGTAAGGGTTCATTATAAGACGCAGATGATTGATTGATGGACGAGAAAAAGTTAAAGAAAGAATTCATGACAATATCAGTTAAGTTGTCATATTTTGTCATAAATAACTTCACTTGAAGTTGCCATATTTTGTCATAAATAACTTCACTTGAAGTTGCCATATTTTGTCATAAATAACTTCACTTGAAGTTGCCATATTT